AAATAGCTATATTTAGACGTCGAACTGCTGGAAATAGGCCCCTTTACCTTGGGCATAAAGTTTTCCCCATTCAGACCATGTGTCACTCGCCTGAGAATAACATTCTTTATTGGAGTTGTATCTATGCTCATTTGTTTTCTCATACACAACCGTTAACCGACGTGTGGTCTGGAATGTTAAAACATTAAACCAAAGGTAAAGAGATCTATTTCCAGCAGTTCAAAGGAAGCAAAAAAACATAACATCTTTCTCCAAGTTGGTTGCATAAAAGTTTAGGAAAATGTGTGTGCTGATACTGTTGTCGAAAACCTCTTGATTCTTAAAATGCTTGTAATAATTGTTTAGGTATTAATAATAAATTGTTGATATTATCTGAAATATTATKTTGCAGTTTCCACCATTTGCAACCAATGAGATAAAAAGACCAGGCAGAGCTGGTCGCAGGGAAATTGGTCATGGTAAGTAAAATCAAGGGTAGTGTGGTGGTGGTATACTCACCTTGGACCTCTGGGGTCTCAGGTTTGATTCCTGGACTCAGAGTCACATACATTAGGGAAATCAAGGGTAGTGTAGTGGTAGTATACTCACCTTGGACCTCTGGGGTCTCAGGTTTGATTCCTAGACTCAGCATTACTTGTGAGCAGAGTTTGTTAGGTCTCTTCTTTAATTCAAAGGTTTGTCTCTGGGTTCTCCAGTTTTCTTCCCTGTGCAAGACCTAACATGCTAAATTCCAATTTGATCTTTGAGTTAGCTGTGCCTTGACTTAAATCAGCCCATAGGTTGTTTCAGGGCATCAATAAAATTTGAAGGTTTGAATTTTTGGCAATTCGTAGCGGGGGTTTTGAGAAATCTCTTAAGTGGTTTCGATAAAAATATCAGTGTTATCATTCGATGTTTTTTCATTCTAAAGGCTCAATTGGAGAGAGAGCATTAATTCCTGTACTTCCAAAAGAAATGCCTTTTACTCTAAGGCTAACATCRCAAGTACTTGCTTCTAATGGTAAGCTTTTCCATTTTCTTTATTAAGCCACAGGCACACGGTGCAATATTAAGCAGAATATTGCAGGTAATGTTGCCGATGTAGGATTGTTCTCTGCTTCAGCAACACTGCGTGTAACAATAATTGTTTCATGTGACATGGCTCGCAACATTGATTGCCTGCAACATTGTGCATTGAGTATACAGTGCTTCTCAATATCATACATGAAATGGTTGTCACAACCAAGTAGGTTTTGGTGGACGTCAATCAAGGCGTTTCCATGACAACCCATAAGCAAGTTTGCCCTAGTAAACTTTGTCTTTTCCAACATTGTCATGGAAACACTTTGATTGGCATACACCAAAACCATTTTTTTCGCGATGGAAAATTATACAATTTTGCTGTAGTCTGAGAYCTCTGTGTTTGTTCTTTAGGTTCTTCATCAATGGCTTCAGTTTGTGCTGGTAGTTTAGCCATGATGGATGCAGGTTAGTAAGCAGTCAATARTAGTGCATGTAGAGCTCAGAATCACAGAAGTTGCTGTCCATTACTGTAGTTTTTGATATTCTGTGARCTCGGTAGTTACAGKCTGCACACTGACATTTGGTTATCACTGCCGTCAATCAAAAATAATCAGTCAGTACCTCTTATACTCTTGAYTGGCGGCAGTAGATAAACAATTTCACAGCAAGCCGTTGAAATGTCTGAGTTCACTGAATATCGAAAACCGCAGTAAGGTGTCATGGTGTCATGGGACAATTTTGACCAGAGTCTTTTTTTCCTTTTTTTTTTTTTTTAATCCATGCAATATTTTGTAGGTATACCAATAGAAAAGCATGTAGCTGGTACAGCATGTGGACTGGTAACTAGTGATGATGCAAATGATGCTRCAAAACCTGACGTTGAAGAATATCAGATGTTGACAGATATACTGGTATGTACGAT